CCGAACTGCAGAACTGCAGTCAGCTGAAGTAGCCTGCAGTGCTGCATTTAACCACTGCGCCACCTTGGCTCCTGATTGTATAGTATCCTTCCACTGGAGTGGGGAGAGATTGAAGATTTTACAGTATCCTTCCCCTGCCATGCCAACCAAGCCACACCCACAGAACCAGTAGTAAAAAAATTTGAATCCCATCACTGCTATGGCTATTACATATTGGAAGGGTCTATATATGCTTCACAGATTCCAAGTTTATGTAACTTTTCCACATGTCAACTGTATCTACCCTAACCAAGACTTCATTCATGACTCAGTTCAAATGTTCTTTCAGGACAAAAGATCAATGAATCTCCTAATAACTCCCTGGGCAAATGGATGGAGGTGAGAATTTACTGGCTGGATGCCCTTCCTGATGCCATGTGGAGTTCGCAGGATTTTTTTTTTTTTGCACCCTAGGAGAGAAACACTTGCCACTACCTAGGATTGAACTCTGAACCTTCTGAGTTGTAATTTTGGATTACAAGGAAAGCTAGCTTGGTGGTTTAGGGTTACCCAAACACTATTATCATCTATTAAATCCCCCGAATGCATTTGAAGCACTAGGTTCAGGCAGAATCTGTACTGCAATGTTTCTGCCCCATTTCTTTAAACACCAACTATTTGGTGAAAGTCACACCTCACATCCCAGATGTGCATATTGGGTCCAGATGGTTAGAGATCTTGCTACTCTCCTCTATCTTCCCTTCTGCTACTTCTACAGCAGCCCTTTGGCATTTTAGGCATGGATGCTTACCATCATATACACCCCACCAGGTTTTTTTAAATTAAAGAACCAGATGTTGGATGTTACAATCATTTGGGATGTACAGTTAATGCTCTGTCATTAAGTGGATCTTCAAGTGACACTTGAATCAGCCAAAATCCATTAAGCATTACCAGAAATGATTACCATCATTTATGAGTTAGGTTAGTTGAGAGATTGCTGTGAGGCTTGCACAGCAATATTTTGCTTGGCAATAGGCATAGTTAATTATGCAACTTGGGATCTCTGACCATGATCCAACACTTCATAGAAGTCCACTTGCCCTATTGGCAGAGCAGAAGCCAGTGTCCATTATGAGGACCTTATAGCAAGAGCCCTTAGACTTATATACCGCTTCACAGTGCTTTCACAGCCCTCTCTAAGTGGTTTACAAAGTCAGCATCTTGCCCCTGACAATTTTACCCATCTTGGAAGGATAGAAGGCTGAGTTAAACTTGAGCTGGTCAGAATCGAATTGCTGTCAGTGGGCAGTTAACTATAGCAATAGCAGTTAGACTTGTGACCCGACAACAGCGCGCCCGACAACAGTGCGCCGACAAAACCGCTGCGATAAAACCGCGACGTTGACAGCACACCCACAAAGGCATGCCGACAAAAGAGCGCTGACAAAGCGCAATTAGGGTTAAGGTAAGGGTTAGGGTAAGGGTAAGGGTAAGGGTAAGGGTTAGGGTTAGGGTTAAGGTTAAGGTTAGGATTAGGATTAGGGTCAGGGTCAGGGTTAGGTTCAGGGTTAGGTTGAGGGTTAGGTTTAGGGTTAGGTTTAGGGTTAGGTTTAGGGTTAGGTTT